AGTGTCCAGCTCCTGCTTCACTTTACCCTATCTGAAAGTCCTAATTAATGCTCGATGGTGTTGTAAAAATTTGAGTCTCTTCTACTGGCCCTGATTCCCTGATGAAGCAAAGGTCAGATTTAATGCTCCATATCATTCATGCCAGAGCCATGCATAATCCTTCTGAGATGGGTAATAGTGAGCCACAAACCACACAGGCATTGAAGAGACGTGCACCAGACGTCATATTCCTTGACTTTAGAGCGGTGCTGTTGAGTCTGGCTTGCTGGGTGTCACTTCAGTCTCACAGAGCAGCTTTGAGAGGCTTGTAGATCCGTTTTGATGGATAACGATGCTGGTGTCTTCTCCCTTCTATCTGTATTGCAGGGGGATGACCTGGAACAGGGAGAGCAACCAAAGAAGTTTCATCCTAAAAGACAGATCATAAAACAAACCTGTCTGCTGTTAGAAAGATTTGCTCCTTAGGCTTTTGTCTACCGGTTTCTGCTATATCACCAAGGGACACCCTGATGTCAGCTCCTACTGCGATGATGCTTAGATTTTCCCGAGTAGCACTAACACGAAAAGCACACAGTTCTTGTCATTTTTTGATAGCCTGATATTCTATACTTGGCACGTGGATGGCTAAGGGACAATTCGATGATAATCTGCACCTTTCTGAATGATGTATGTCCCAAGAAGGAAAAGCAAATGTTTCAGCCAGTGAAAGAAATGTAACTAGGAAAAACTAGAAAAGGCTGAATATCAGGAAATGCATCGAGGCAGTAACATCTGTCGGAATGCCAAGTAATGTCCCTTTGAAAGTGGTGGGATCAGCATTGCTTCTGACATCTGAGACTCAATGAGACACAACCTAATTTGATCTATAACATACTTGGCTTCCAGGGAGGCCGTCTGTATGACCCACTAGATTTTTTTTTCCATCTCTAACTTCTGCAACTCTCTCTTTCTGACTCTCCCTAGGTGATGAAATATCATTATAACCTTTGGAAATAATATATTGGTGCCTGGAGAGCAGAGACTGATTTTCTCATTTGCAAGTGAGAGGCAGTGCGTTAAATTACCATTCTTGCCATTAAATGGATTGGGTAAAAAATTTGATGTGTTTAAAACAGGACAATTTCCCCCTCCTCAAACAAATCACCTAAGACTTCATGTTGTGGGGGGCTGGGAAGGTAAAAGAAGTTTAAATAGCATTCATCGTAGTCCCTGAGGCTTAGGTTAGTGGAAGCTACTTGACTCCTGAAAATGTTTCAGCAAATCTGACAGGTAGGCTTGCTACTGATCTACAGAGTATGAGGAAGCCTGTGCTGTGTCTGCCATAGATCAGGAGGGATAAAACCTGTCCTTCTGGGCCATCAAAGCATCTACTTGTTAATTTGGCTCTGGGAAATGTGAAAAAACTCACGGTGCTGACAAACACAGTGACTAAGTGCGTAAGTAATTTAACTTAAGAATTGCAGCTTTGCATCTTTGGAGGATAAATTAGAAAGTTGTGGTGTTGCTTTAACTGATTTCTTTTAATCGTATCCAGCAGCTGATGCAGTTCTCGATAACATTTGTTTCTGCCTCTTCGTGCAGTGCAAAAAATTGATAATCATCTGGTACTGCTGAGCATTGTGTCTGACAATATCTGAAACTCCAGACATGGTGATGAATTGCACTGTGATATATTAATGTTATTTTGATCCCTACTCTTTCAGAATTATATTGATCCAATTAGGTTAAGTAGCTTGATATCTAAATTAATTACTTTCCTCTGTTCGTTTTCTTTACACTGGGTCAAGAACAGGAATGTAAATTAACCTATTACATTGCATATCTTTGGAGGGCAGGGGGTAATTAAATTACCTAATAGATACATATGTTGAATTCATTGTTTGGTGTGTTAGACATTATTGCCATCATTGGGAAGTGAAGTGGTGCCCACTTAGATGAGGAATTTGAGTGCTTGTTACACTTAGTTTTCGTAACCATTCATGAAATGCCTTTACATGACTTGCTGTCCCTGGATACTAATGCTGCGTGCTTAGAGGGCTACACAGCTTTTAAGATATTAGACAGTTTGAAAGTGGGGATAACAGCTTCTTTCTCTGCCAGAAGCTGTTGGACTCCCTGGTAACATGTCTTGTAGAGGTCCCCAGCCTCGACAGGGTGGAGAAAACCTTTCCTCTGCTTGCTCTCAGTCCAGCACTAGCTCCGTACGTGGCAGGAAAGCAGATGTCCCAGCAATGATGTCTTAGTTATTGAACTGCAGGAGTGTTAACGCATGCTTTTTCTCAAAGCGGGCCTTCAGTGGCATGCAAAATTTCCATGTTTCGGAGTCCTACTTTGGCTCCTACATTGGTGCATGCTTTTTGTCTTGTTAGGTTAGCCCAATACTGGGATTCCATCGTCTTGGCACTCTGACCAGTCTTTTACTACTCACACTGGGAATTCTTATTGTCAGCCAGTATTTACAACCGGGTAGATAGCAAACTTCTGTCCTGGTAGGGAGATTGATGACAGTAATTTGTTTACCTGATACATTTCCTCACTTTAGTAAGTAGAACTGTCCATGGAAGAATTAAATGAAGCACTGATGTAAGGGGATGAGATCCAGTGGCTGGAAGCTGAGAGTTGGCACAATCTGGATACAAAGTGCAGTGGTTTTACATTGAGCTTAATTAACTGTTAAAAAACTTAGCAGGCTCATGATAGCTGCTTCATCATGGGAGGTCTAGACAAGGGCTTTATACAGTAAGGCAATGGATTTGGTTCCATCGCGGTCGTTATACTAGAAGATTAATTCAAGTCAAACGATCTATGCAAGGCAACAGGTCAGATCACTGATTGCAGTACTCCCTTCAGGTGCTAAAACCTGTGAATCTATGAAATGTTTTCTAAACCTGTGCCTGAGGGTAGAATGAACAGAAGCAGAAAGGTCATCTTTATCATCACTGCTGTCAAACACTTTGGAAATAGCAGAGCACAAAGCCGAGTATATTGCTCAATCACTTTGCCCTTACACTATGTCTGTTACTCTATTCCTTTCCTATATTTTGTCCCATTAAATAAAAATAGCTTCAGTGTCCTATATGAAATCCAACTTCCAAAAAATGCTCAGCAGCGCTCTGTTGGCTTTGACAATGATGGGATCTTACCTTTTGCCTTTGCAAAGGTAGCTAATGCCTGCTAAGCACAGGACTTAGCAGTGCTGTTATATAAAAAATTATTATAATTAAGAAAGCAGCTCCTCTTTGTGATAAGGAGACAGTAGGAAACATGGAGACGGCACACTTTGTTCCAGGCAGACCTCCCCCAAAGTCTGCAGGCACAAGAGGTGACACAAAGCTTAGTATCAGGCAGCCTCCAAAAGGGGTTTGAGGTGTCCCTACACTAGATACTTGGTTGGGCAACCAAGTTCTGCTCTAGGTGTGGTGGTTGGCTGAGATGCAGAGCAGCTCCTGTACAACCCACCAAACACTGCAGTATTTCAATAAACAGTATTGGTCAGTATGTGAATATTTCCAACAAGCTAAAAAAATGTAAAGTGAGAACCTCTCTCAACACTCATTGTGTTGGAGCTTTTCCATTTCCTTCTCATTTTATTTTTCCTCTTCTACCTTGAGCTAGAGGCTTTCAAAGATGGATTTTCTCTCTAATAAGTATTTATACAGTCCCTAGCACAACTGGATCCTGAATGTGACTGAGCCATTGTGTATTAATTAGAGGCAAATAAAGCAGTAATGAAAATTAAATGTTCATGTTCTAGTTTTAATGTTTATATAAAGTGCAAGAAAGATGTTCTAAGATTGTGTACGAGTTCACACCAACATATATCCAATAGTGCACAGCATCAACCAGCTTTAAATACAAATAAATGCCTGGTTTGTTCAAATGGGCAACCCAAGGAAGAAACGTGTCATTGAAGTGGAACCGAAAAACATTGTGAAACACTGCACCAGAGATTATCAATAGTCCCAACTCTCCAGTTTTGTGAAGGTAATAGTGGCATTTATCTTGTATTTCTTCTGTATTGTGCCTTTGCATTTCAGCAAAGTGTTTGTCAGAACTCTAGCACATTTATGTTGAGGGACACAGCTTAATACCTATGTAAAGAGTAAATATGAATATATATTCTTCCTTCTGGCCTTGTAAGAAATGCTCTTTAGATAAGGAGTTGAAAAACACAACAATAGCAAGGCTTCTTTTTTTTTTTTCTTTTTTTTCCCCCTTTTTTTAAAGGGAATAGCTTTCCCTATTCTCTGAGTTCACTACAAAAAGAAAACTTTTCACATTTGTCATGCACATGCCCTTCTGGAGATTTTTAGGAAATGGCAACAGCAAATCAAGACGTGTTATATCATTGCCAAAGGCAGGAGGGGAAGTTTGGAGAGAATGACAATAAAATGTCTCGTGGTAGACATGGTTTTCCGCCGTCTCCTGATACAATATTTCAAGTTGTTTGATTTCCATTCATGAATATCCCTTTCAGATGACCAGAATAAATCCAGTACTCCAACCTCTGTAGTATTCTTATGGTGTTTTTCCTGGAGTGGTGATGGAAGACGTTTGTTTCATTTACCGAGAGCAAAACGAGTCTTTGGGTGGTCACTTGAGGATGAGTACAACACATTATACAGCAAAATAAGCAACATTTTCCATTTCGACAAGCCACTATTAATATTCCAAATGTCTAGACTTCAGATTTAATGTAAAGTGTGTTGAAAATTACATGGGAGATCCAGTACTGAAGTTCACCAGCTTGCAGCCCTCATTTGGAAGAGAAGGCAAGCTGGAAACTTGTAGTCTTTTCACAATTAACGACGGAAGTGTTCACGTACTGCAGCTTCAGTATTTGCACTTCCGTTGCTTCTTATTTCGCACTCAGCTCTGGTAGTTATCATATTGTTAGTACTTGGCTTTGATCGCCGTCTCAATTGGAACCACTAAAGGACAAAGTCAGGATGATGTGGCCTTACGATTACGTGTGCTGTCTTTTTCTTTTTTTTTTCCAGGGGCCTGTTAGCCAGCAGCTTCACAGAAACGCATTATCTCAAGGACGGCACTGACGTGGTTCTCACACGCAATTACACGGTAAAGTTGATGTTCCGTGGGTAGGCGATGCTTCATCATTAAAGCCCAAAGGTCTCTCTGCCGGGATCTGAGCCGTGGGATGAAACAGCTCCACGTGTGATCTTTTTTTATTGTTGCCTTCAGTACATTTTTGACTGCTGTGATCCTACGCAGGATTTTTTTAGAGAGAGACTTTAAAGGCAGGCTGTGGGGTTTTAACCAGGTGACTTTTAAAATCTGCAAGACTTATTCAACGTCTTTGAAATATACCCATTAAAATTTTATAATAAATGCAGCCATTGTTGATCAGTTATGGAGGAAAGTCCCGCTTCAGTTAAGAGAAAAGTTGTGAATATTTGATTTCTATAGCGCAGAAGCTCACATCAGAGCTTCTGAAGGCTTGGGTGTCTTTCTGCATTGGGGAAGGAATGGCTGGGCTTTGGGAGAGGGGATTGGTTGGTTGGGTGAGTTTATTTTTTAAACTAGACTTATTTATATAATATTTATATATATGTGTGTGTATATATATACACATATATATGTGTATATTTGTGCGTACATGTATATAAAAATACAGCTAATAAGATCCTTGTTAAAATCAGTAGTTAAAACCTGCTTTTTATAAATAAAAAATGCCTTAAGGCAGTAATGCCTTTGTCCTCTGACAATATGAACGCCTTAATTAGAAACAATGCAGCAAGTGATTTTAATTACAAAGTTTATCTTTTATCTGCCTAACTCCTAAAAAGTATTCGTTATGCTACGTTATTTATTTATCGACACTGTCAGAGGAGGCATCGTACTTTGTGTTCCCATCCATAATGGGCTGTGCTGGTATCAGTGAAAGCCATTATTTCTATGCATAACATCTTACTTCTGACAAAGCACCGGCATTATAGCTCCAGACCTCCCAAGTAAAGCAATTATTTTGAAAGCTTTCAGTGTTTTCTTTTCTGCTGGATGCTTGTATCTTCTTCAAAATCTGCTTAGTAGAAAATAGTCATTTGTTTTACAAACAGAAAGGCTGTATAGGCTCCTAAAGGAAGTAAAAGGAAAGAAATGAGGCACATGAGTCTTTAAGAGATTAACCTACACTAACATGGATATGAGTAGAGCTAATTACTTTCCCTTACTAATAAAACATCTGTCTTCATAATGACAGTAATTCACAATTAATACTGTCAGTGCCTTTGCTTCCTCAAAGTTGGGGTTTTGTTTGAGAGATCTTTAAATTCATTTTTTCACTAAATACAGTTTGAAAAAGATAAGTCTCTGTGATCTTATTTTTATATCTCTTCTTCACTGAGGTCATCACTAGTCTGTAGTTGAAACCAAATCCAATTTCCCATTGAAAAACTGCTTAGTTAAATTCTGCCTGGAGGTCAAACCAAGTCAGGTTTGTGGAACTGTCATTTGAGGAGTTTCTTTAGCACATGAGCCAGGATATTTTTCTTGTCTATAGCACCTGAAAAATTTGCGATTGTCAAAAGCTGGTGTTTATTAAATGATCTCAAGTAAGGGTAGAGTACTGTTTTAAGTATGACAAATCAGCCACGGTAATTATTTGATTTTTAGGGGGCCATCTGTTTTATATACCAGTTTACAGAAATAAAAAGCTGTGATAGGAGAGGAGAAAAAAAAAAAAAAGTCCTGCAGTTCAGTGGAGTTAGTGAGCTAGAAATCAATTTTCTACCGGTCCAATTGCAGGCCATGGTCTGATAAGTTTACATCTTCGATATTGAACATCGCATAGCATGTGGAGCTGAGAGAAGCTGTGAAATGGGCCACAACAAGGAGCCCAAAGTTAATAAAATGACATGTTATGTGTGGAGAGGGAAAGAAATCAGGACCTTGGCCGCGGTTCCCTCTTTGATAAAGACAGCTGGAGTGCAGGAGCAGGTATCACCTGGCCCTCCCTCGCTTAACACTGGTGATGCTGCACCCCAAAGGCTGCCTTCTTTAGAGCTCTGAGCTGCACTTCTTCGTTGTACTTACTTCAAGTAATGAGAGTAAACCTACTTAATTTTTGTTTTTAAACCATTTCACTGTATGAGAGTCAGTGCTGAGGCAAAGTGCGTTGTTTTTTCTTCTCATCAGCTAGATGCATGGAGCTGATAACGCTAAAATAAAGTGAAATAGTACACTCACGCTGAAAGCTTTGACATCTGTGGCAATTGTGACTGAAGCAATCATCCCCAAAAAATTCGATCTATGACTTCCTCCCTTTTATTGTGGCTTTATCCTTTCTAACACGTTACTGACTCTTCATGAGTACTGGTGATGAAAACGCCCAAGAGTAAAACACTGTTACCTCGTTTCTGTCACTTCTTGCAATGAGAAAACCTAGTGAGATTTAGAAAGTCAGATGTTGTTCTGTGTTCAGTTGCTCACCCTGGAAATACAAATGCTCTGAACAAATAGTTTACATTTCAACCTTATTTGCTGAAAATTCATATCTGAATTATTCCATCTTGCCCAGCATTTTCATGGCTATTGCCTTCTTTAACAATGTGAAGGTGGTCTTTAGAAGTCTGAAATGTGAGGCTTTGTAAGTGAAAGCCGTGCCCTAAAACTGAAAAGGTTAATTAATGCAGCTAGATGGGTGCGAATGAACCGAGTAATAAAAAGGCACAGTGAGATGCCTGCCAGGCTGAAGCATGAGTGATAACTTTCCTTTGCACTAATAAGATAGGAACCTTTACAACAATGTTTTTGGTTTCCAGGTGGCATTCAAAGGAGCCACGAGGAAAGAAATGCTGGACATGACACAATCATTGCTTCCCAGCCAGTCACATAATTGGGGATGTAACATAACCTTTAGTCAACAATAAAAATTAACCTTGATGCCAGACAGATATGTGTGTGTGCTGAGAAAGTATCTCTGCTCTGGGTGCCTTTTGCAAGCAGTGGATTATTAAGGAAACAAAATAACCTAGCCACAAAATGAAACTGGATTGCTGCCTCTCCAAACAGAAGACCCCCTTTTCTTGGTTGTTCTTAATATCATGCACTCAGCTGGGTAATTCCATAAAAGGTTTCCTTTCCAACCTTTTTCCCTTCCCCTTTATTTGGTCTGTGATTTTTTTGTTCCGAACTACAGGGTTGGGATCAGCTTTTTTAAACTTCTATTTACACACAGGTACCTGCTATAGACGTACATACATGTAAATGACCTTGAGTAAAAATCTGTGTCTGTAGAAAGTAGTAAAATATATCAGCCAATTTACTGATCTGATGAGTTTTATAGAACATTCAGTACAGGGCCAGGAAAGGTGCTGTCAGTGTGGTTCTGAGTGCTGTAGCCTGAAATTGGTAATTACTTTAAAATAAAGGATATGGAAAACCATGAGGAAACTAGAAAGCAAAGAGCGTTTATGACTATTGAGATGTTTTCTCCTTCTGCACTCAGGGTCACTGCTATTACCACGGCGATGTACAAGGATACCCCGACTCCTCAGTCAGCCTCAGTACCTGCTCTGGACTCAGGTGAGCCAATATTTCAATAATACTTGAGCTCCTTAAGAAACCATCCTAGTACCATTGAGTTTTGTCTTTTGCCTTTTAAAAAATGTATCAATAGGCATTTTTCAAACATTGGGTACAAACTTTCCTTCTGGTTGCTCTGAAGAGGAAAAAGATAAATAGATAATGCAATTTGGGGGATTTCCATGATGTCCCTTCTCTCTTTCTGCCCATCCTTCTCTATCCCTTTTCTCAGCAGTGCCGTGCTTGGCACATTTTTGGGGCTGGCAGTGCCCAGTAGCCCTCCAGTCCTCAAAGCTGATTCAGCAGTGATGACAGGCAGCACTGCTTTGCAGCTGCAGAGTCATGCATCTTCCAGCAGCCTCATCGCTAGGAGAGGTGGCTTTATAAATACAGCCGTGGAGCTCAATAAATTGCATTTTTGGCAGGTATGATGCTCAGCGTTAGGGTTTTAGGGACTGGAGGAGGAGTGGAGGATTCTTCTTCCTGAAAACCAAACCTCTTCTGAGTTGGAGAAAGGAGCAGGCTAACAACATTTTAAATACACAATGGACACAGTTCAGGAAACAATTATCTCCCTTACTTGGACAATCAGGGTCTGGTATTTAACCACAGAGCTGTTCCAAATCACAGTAATTAACTGCAAATTGGCTCTAGTGTTCTCCCTGGAAAACCCAGTTTTTCCTGACAGATTTCCAGCTGTCTCAACCTTTTCTGGGTTTGTTTAATTTATCTACAAACAGCATGAGTAGCTGGAGTCTTTGTCCCTTGATTTTGCATTTTGTGCAATAGTACTGTTATCAAGGTTTTTATGACAGAACTCTGGGACAAGCAGCAGCAGAGAGAGCAAACAGTCTTGTTTGCTGGAGTCGATGGGATTCCTGTGGCTCGTTCCCACATGGAGAGGGATTTTATGGGTGCTTCAGTATGTGTCTGGCATCTTCCACAAGTTTAATTAATGCCTTGCATGCATGGTTTGCATTCACCGGTCGTTTTCTCAGTCCATAAGAACACAACGTAGTGCTCTCAGGGTTTTAGTGGAAGGGATTGCAGTGCTGCAGAGTTCACAAGGAAAATCTGCACCACGTGAGACAGGGTCTGCACTGAGATCTTGTTCCAGAGCTACCTAAGAAATTAAGAACTCTAAAGAGAAATTACTCTTCTCTACAGTAAAAGCATTTTCTTTCTTTTTTATTGTGCTCCTCTTACAATTGTTGAACTCTTAGTGTTGTTTCCCACTTTTTGGCAGTCAGGTACGTCAAAGCAACATCTACTGGTGGTGACATATTTCTGTCATCTGGCACCATTGCAGATAAATCCCTGAAGTGCAAGCTGACAGTGTTAGTCCCATACTGCATAGAAAAAGCGTAACAGCATCTTTTTTCAGCGTAAAGTTTCCTAAGTTTCCCTGCCAGTGCATGTTTTGCTCTAGTTGGAGAATAGCTGAGGACATCCCTCAGTATCTGTGCCTGTTTAGCTGTGGCATTCGCAGCTGAGGTTGGTTAAGAGTGTCCATGAATGAGAAGTGTCTCTGATAAGGGTGCCTGCTGACTTACTCCACAAAACCCATTTCACAGCCTGGTAGCCAGTTGTAATAGCTTCCAGTCATTAACTGTGCTTGGTCTGAGCCAGCGATGCCTGTTCAAAAGGCTTCATAATGCGCTGGCAACTCCTTGAGCCATCCAGGCTTTCTTATTAAAACTAGTTAGGAAAAGGCCAGGTGGTGTGAAATCCCAAGTAGCTGCACCGAGGTCCTGAGAGCACTAAGCATCTTCCAGAATCAGGCCCGCACATCACTGTATACTACTGCCACCGAAACATTGCTGTGGCAGTACATCCCTTCAGAATTTGGGTGGAAATACTCAGTTGAAGACATGTCTGCTCATTGCTGGGCAGTTGGACTAGGGGAACTAGGTCCTTTGAAGGTCCCTTCCAATTCAAAACATTCTATGATTCTATGGTTTATTGCACATAATACAGTTTGAAATAATATGAGAAGGAAAAGGACAGTTCAGAACTACTTCTTGGCTTACTTTGGTGTCAACTTTACTATTCTTATGGCTTGAAAAAGTAGTTTAGGATAAGGATAAGGATAAGGATAAGACTTATGAACTGGAAATTGGATCTTAATTTTTAAAATGTCCTTGTGTTTTAATTTTGACTATATGAGTACAATCACCAAACAATTTAGGTTGGAATGGATCTTTGGAGGTTTTCTGGTTCGATCCCCTGCTCAACGTTGGCCTAGCTTCAGATTTAGTGACATACTCAGGACTGGCACAATCCAGCTTTGAATATCTCCAAAGCTGGAAATTCTACAACATTTTTGGGGAAATGTTCCAGACCTGACTGATTCCATGATGAAAAATATTTTCAGGAGAGGAGAGGAGAGGAGAGGAGAGGAGAGGAGAGGAGAGGAGAGGAGATGTAATTGCCCACCAACTTGTTGGAGTAGGGACTCTTGTTTTGCCATGGCATGATGAAGACTGTAATCTGTGGGGTAGAGACATGAGATATCATGTGGCTGTGGAGCCCTTGGTAAGGACAGTCCCTGGAGCAGCCGTTTCACTTGCAGCAGCCGGTGGAAGGAAAGATGGGTCTCGCTCTCAGGGTCTGTTCTTGGCTTTCTGACAGTTTCTAATTGAATTGGACAAACCTCTCCATCTCAGTTTCTCCATCTGTGAAATTCATTTAGTGATTCTTACCTACCTCACACAGCTGTTGTGCGGGTCTAAAGTTTAAGTGTCTGAAAAACATTTAATGAAAAGAAGTGCGAGCTGTTAGCTCACTGAAATCTCAGAGCACAAATATCCTCCCACTCCTACTAGACAGGCGCCTTGGGCATTGTTCCAGGTGTGGGTAGGAAGCGACTGTGTCTTTTCCTCCAGATTAGGGGAGTTCATTAAAAGACATGAAACTAGTCACAAAAGATAGGTTCCACGTTTTAGCATGCTCTGAAGCCTGAGCACTCAGCGGTAGTCAAAAAAAGTAAAAAGGATCATAGGAATTACTGAGACAGAAAAAGAGGATGGAACAAAACCCCTCATTACCACTTTATAAATCTATAGTGCACTCACATCTTGAATTCTGCATGCAGTTCTTGTTTTCTCATCCCCATCTCAGAAAGGATTATATCCAGAAAAGGTACAGAGCAGGGCAAAAATTATGATCAAAGGTATGGAACAACTTTTATCCAAGGAGAGAAAATAGACTGGGATTTGTCATTTTTGAAAGGAGTTGATGGAGAAAAGGGGTATAATGTAATGAGGTTGAATGTCATGCTAAAGAAGGGACAATTACTGAATATTTTTCCTAACCCCCAAATTAGAAGACATCAAATGAAACTTTAGAGCAAAGAAAAGTGCTTTTTTATCCACTGTATAAAGAAGCTGTGGAGCTCAGGTCAATGTGAAAAGTGTCGGTAGATTCAAAAAAGATGAGACAACTTGGGGAGGGGAGCTGGAGGAGCTTCTCCAGGGCTGTGAAACCCAAAGATATCCCTGACACTCATGCTGACAGAGCTGGGGTTACCAACTGGGATGTGCTTGTTGTGTTCTTATGTCTCACCCCTAAGCATCTGCCGTTGGCTGGGGCCAGAGACTAGACACTGAGCTGGAGCAAACTTGCTCTGACCTACTGCACCATCAAGTTCTTACTTACAGTGCAGCCACACGGTTGAGCATTTGAGATGTAGAATTAGCTTGTGAATATGACACGATTACTCTGTGATGAGCTACAGAAGGAATCAAGTGTGAAATCTGCAGACTAAGACAGGTTTGACTAGTTTACATTTTTCAGGCGGATAGAGGGGGTGAGATATAAAGATAAGTGAAAAGTAGACTCGGCTCTCTTATACACAGACACTCACATATTCCAGCTATATGACATCCTCTCAGACATAACATTCGAGTGCTTCGCTTCACGTAGGATTAAAACGGCATAAATAGTTGGATTGACGCTGATAGCTGCCTAAAATGCAGGTTAGAGGAGAATGTAATCATGCCATAATCTGCATCCTGCTGGCTCCTCTGGAGGAGGAAGAGCTGAATGGCAGAGAGGAGGCCGTAAATGCTGAATGCATGAAATGGGAACAATGGGCAATCAGGATTTCCGGCCCTTCCAGCTGGATAAGAAAGCCAATTAGACTGTGAAAGCTTGTAGGAAGGTGAAGGTACCATGAAGTCAAGTCAGTTCCTTCCTGTCCTCAGGAAACACCCTTCTGTTTATCTAGCTTGGAGGCTCCAAGTTTTTAGCAAATAATTTTGGCCAGTGGCCACTACACCCATCTTCTGTGATAAATTCGTATAGACTTGAGTGATTTCTTTTTTTCCCTGTTACTTTCCCTGCAAGCGCAGAACCTAAGCAAATACACTCAAAAATGCAGCCTAAAGCAGAGCACAATCTCCACGGTCCAGGGGCTGGCAGAGGGGATGTGCAGCCATAAAGGCATCCGCAGTGACCTCTCTGGTGGATGGAAAGAGCTTGAGAGGTGCTCTCAGAAATGCCTCAGTAGTTTAAGGATACAAATCTCACGGGAAGCCTTTTCTTCCTGAAACACCAAAATGCTCTTAAGAATCCCACGAATCCCTCAGAGTTACCCAATTCCTAGAAAATAAGCCCGTTCACACGTACAAAAAGTATCTGGTCATTGCCCAACCTCATCAGCAACTGGAAGATTCTGTGTCCACAGTGACAGTGATGGGGATAAGGCCTCAGGACTGAATAAACAGTCGTTTTAAATGGGATTACATAGTTATGCTACATGAGGCCGCCAATACCAGATCCATCCATTTTTCAAATGGTCTGGCTGAACCCACTGCACCCCAGACACAGTCAGCTGAAGAAGGGATTTAAATACAACAGTCCAGACATCAACTATTTATAAAAGGAATGGGAGTAGGAAACCAGTGAGAAAAAAAAATTAAATTTCTCATGACTCCTCAGGCATGATTTCCCCACAGAAGAGGAGATTTCATCCAAAAAAAGAAGTTAAAAGAAAATCC